CACACACACACACACACACACACACACACACACACACACGTGGATGACACGAGACATGTACTGCAAGTTTCACATGGTGCAAGAAACAGATAAAGATATCTAATTTCTAAATTAAAGGTTAATGCAGACAACAGATGAGTGCCTGGTGCTTCACAAGACCTCTAAATGATTAAGTCTGAAGCAAAATAATAATTTACAAACAAACAACAAAACAAGGAGATTCTTAACATCGTCTACTTGGTTTTGTTTTATTATATTAAGTTTTAAAAAGGACTGATAGCCTATGTATCACTACATCTAGTGGAAGTGATGTGACAGAGGCAGAGCTCCTATAAAGCACATAGAGCAGCAGTAAAGACAACCCATATCAACACGTTACTCTGGCATTATAGGAGCATTAGAGGAGAAACAACTTTAGTTTACAATTTATTAATTGTTGCTTTTTCAATTCATTAATTCTTGTGAATGAATGGTTCCTCAATTTGTCAGGCAGTCTGAGTGAGTGAGGTTTGTCTCGGCAGAAGAGGTGAGACTGAGGAAGGCTGGATAAGTAGTTTCTTTTTTTTTCTTTTTTTTTTTAATTTAAAGGAAGATGTTCAACGTAAGATGATTTAGATTGATTCTCCAACAAAGTGGTGCTCAAAAATTGTGAGCACATGGATTTACAAGACGGCCACGGATGAATCATAATCAACACTATTGTCCAAAACACGGAGATGAACACACAGTGATGGGGAGGACAGTGAAAGAGCCTGATGTAAAAGTAGACTGGAGCCTTGAATAGTCCGGATGGATGCCTCCCAGACCGGTTTCACAGTCCTAGACTCTCCACATCCATCCCTGAAGCTTTCACTTTCAATTGATTTGTCTATACAGCATCCAAATAGCTTTTGTACTTCCCTTTAATCTTTACAGTACAATACACTATAGTGCACAATAGGGTTTCTGAGCCTGGAGCTCAGGGTGGAGGGTGAGAGCACATAATCCTCACAGCGCTGCTCGATTTCAAGTCACTGTCGGGCCCGACATTCAGAGTCCCGCAGCCTGGATGCTCTGCTGCAGCACCCAGGCAAAACAAATAACCCACGAGTGTTTCTCCACGCCTCAGTCCTGCCCTGGGTCCTTTGCAGGGCCGCCGTCCAGGTAGATCTTGAGGGCCTTCTCTTTGCGTGGCGAGTAACTGACACGGTGTCCGGTTTTAAGCAGACGGCTGCTTTCCTTCTTCATTAGCTCGTTGCGCTCATCCTCTGACAACTCCAGAGGTTCTTCTGTGCTGTCCCTGCGCAGACAAAAGAGCACAAAAACATTGATGGAGGTCACAAATACTCCTAATATAATAAGATCATTAGAAGAACTCCATGGATGTCGCCATGTTTTAAAATTTTAAGGGAATAATGAATGAATAAAAAAAAACAAAAAAAACAAAAACATGTAAACTTAACTGAAACTTGAAGTCTTTTTTTTAAGCTTAGTAGCTGCTTTCTTTAAAATATCTCTACTACTAGATACAGTTTTACAATTAAAGCCTGGATTACAACATAATTGGTTCAGAACATAGTAAGAAAGCTCAAATCTGCACTTGTACCACTGCCTTTTCAGTCATTACCGAGAAGTGATGGAAATCAGACCTGTCAGCACTGACCTCATGCGTTCTCATTTATTAGCTGCATTGATTTGTGATTAAAAATTTTTTTTTACCATCACAGCAAAGACAGATACAACTAGAGTGCAACGTATATTAGATATTGAGATTAGGTGTTCAAATATTAAAGTTGTCTCTAATTCATATTAGATGCTAAAAATTCAACTCACATAAACATATTGAGTTTTTAATAGTCCGAGCGAATGCGTGACTTATGACTTCTACTACAGTCCTCTCTGTTCATGAAATGATTTCACAAAAATACCAAAGACACAAACACTGTACTTGAATGTGGACTTGTCCCAGTTTTTTTTTTTTTACCTGTAGAAGACCACCGCCCCATCATCACAGATGTAAAGAGGCCACACATTAAGGGTTGACACCTTGGGGTTCCAGTCTAAATCCTGATGGATTTCCAACACAGAAATATCACAAGGAAATGTCCCCCTACCCTGCAGAGACCAGATAGCAGTGTCATCAATACAAACATATTAGAAAAATCGGGTCCCAGGTTTCAGGTAATTACATCCACCTACCTTTGCAAACTCCAGGTTTTCCAATGGTATACCACTGATTTCACTAAGCTGCCAACAGAATAAAAACATTAGACACAGGAATACAACAGTTTCCCTCAGCTAAACACTGAACATGAGTAAAACACATTTGTCATGCAGCAGACAAACCTTCTCCTTGAGTTCCTCCACGCTGCTGCTCTCCAGAATCACTTCCTGAAAAGGCCCCAGCTTCATTGTAGACGGGCTCCATCTCCGAGTCAGAACGGCCAACTGTGACATTGATTTCATCTTCTCTGGTTCTGAGAAACATTAGAGGCTGTGGATCAATCAACTGCACTTTAAATGAAACTTCAGTGAAAACAAATTTTCCTTCACTCTAGAACCAAATACACGTCGTTTATTAATCTGTCTCCATGTGGCGTTTCACAGCATATTAACAATTCAACAATGTGATGTTTTTTGAGTCCCTGGAAACAGATGATTTAATGTTTGTTTTCTGTACCTTAAAGGAAATTATTTACTATACCTTTAAAGAAAAAGTTTATATTATTAGAACAGAAAAAAACTAAAATAAGTAAGGTAGTTGAGGTACCCAAAGAAAAACGCATAGTGAAGCAATGTTTAAAAGAAAGTGAAAAACACAAGTTACCATCAAGGACTTCAAGGAAAACCTCCCAGTTGGACGAAATGCTGATGTCTTCCTCATAAACGTGGTAATCCAAAAACACTGTGCCCGGATTCTTCCACGTCTTTTTCCTGAGGCGAACCCTGACCACACAGAGATAAATAGATACATGCTGTTTTGTATACATGTTCATTTTACCTGAAGGGAAACTGCATCAACAGTCCTCTGAACTTTGCAAAGCAAAGAATCGTACCTGTCAATGCTGAGGTCAAGTTTACACTGCTCTTTTAACTGAGGAAGCAGCTCCTCTTTAGACTGTCTGACAGTCATACCCTTGGCAAACACCGTGTCCACTAGGAACTTGCAGGGCTGAGAAAACACCACAATTAATATATTTTATAACATAATGCTGTGCAGCTGTACAACAATGTATGAGTAAGAAAAGTCTGTCAGTTCTTACCTCTGGTTCATTGACTAGTAGTTGATACACTTTCACTCTGTATTCACCCTTTTTAAGGGCTCTGCCTAGTCGAATGGTTATCTATGGATAGTAGCACAGTCTTTGTTGAGATATTTCCTTACTCTCAAGCAAACGACTTTAATCAAGGTAATAAGTTTAAACTGACCTTATTATCGTCAGAGAACGATGAGAGTGTCTCGTTGAGCCGTACACTCTCAAACTCCTGGTTGTTGGCATACACCCTAAACACCTTGAACTGGGTCGAGGTGACGCCGACGTAGGGCTCCAAGTTCAGCTTAAATGCTGCTAATGTTATTCTCTTGTCCACATGAACCACCAAACCTGATGTAGATCACAAGAAACATCAATGTACCTTTTTTTTTTTAAAAAGGAAAGAAAAGATATACGTCAAGGATGCAAAACAGGTAAAGAATGTTTGCAATCCTCCCCCTTGAATGGAAGTAATTGCCCGTGCCTGATTTTAAATGTAATTAAAACATAAATATACTAGCTATGGATGACAACTGCTTTTAAATGCATAATAAAAGTTTGTACATTTTTGTGAATTCCATGAGGCATCATCCTGAGAACAAGGCTCTGCTCTGAAGTACAGGTACTGGGCCTCTGCCTTGCTCTTTCCATTGTCGTCATATTCGCTGTCAGTTCCAGAGTCTTCCTCTGCAGTGTCCCAGGTCTCTTTTTTGCCCTCGTGGGCTTTGGAGCGCCGGCTACTCGTGATGCTGTGCGAGTCCAGGCCATTGGCCAGCTGGATTGGGCCGCTGTCTGCGTTACACAGCGTGTCACTGCTGTGACTGGAGCTCAGGATGTCACTGTCCACCGAGCTGGTGCTGCGGTCATTGTTCACTTCTGAGTCCGACCGCTCCTCACAGGCAAAGTGGTTCTCAGGGTCAGAGGAGGCGCCGCCGCTACCCGCAGACGTGGCCCTGATCCGATTCTCTAACTCTCTGTTGTCTGCAGCCACGCAGAGAGAAGAGTTTGAGTCCGCCTCTTGGGTTGGGGATTCGATATGTTCAAAGTCGCTGGCGTCAGAGCTTTTCTGGCTGTCACTGGTGCTGGAGCCCTGCTGCTGCTGCAGAGACAGATTCTTTAACTTTTCTGTGCTCTCCTCCAGGATAGCCTCTACAGATTTCCTGTTACCCTTTGCACCCTCAGAGAGCACATCAGAGTCACTTCCTACTTTTTGGAAAAGAGTTCTGTTTGCCAAGGTACCAGGAGACTGCTCTGGTAGTAAGACTAACAGCCGGATCGTATTCCCGTGCCGATCCAACAGTTTCCACAAGAGCGAGTCAGTGAAAGGAACCTGATGATCGGTCAACTCAGAGCTCTCAACAAAAACCTGGTGAAAAACAATGGCCAACAAACAAATCAGCAAATTTCATGTAATAATAACATATATAATAAGACTTTGTGAAATTTAAAACAAAACTGAAACACAATAACGCACAAGACAGAACAACTGTCAAAGTTAGAAGAAAACAAGAGACCTTGTTGCTCCTGAAGAATCCCTCAGCCTTCAGTGTCTTGTTTGGGACATAGAGAAGCCGGAGGTCATTATAGCAGCGCTCCAGAACCACACGCATGGTCTCTGCAGAAAGCCCTGTAGCCTGGAAAGAAATGCACACAAAACAGGCTTACATTAATATAACCGACACCACTATATTTGACAGTTTCCTGGGTAAATGGTTAAAACAAAACACTGTGAAGAGGCTAAGAGTAAGAAACCTGTGCAATAAGCTGTTTGAATTCAGTGATCGTCTGGTTCAAGTACGCCCGAACGCTGACGGGAGACGCGATGGTCTCGCTCTTCAGATTAACAACATGAACCTTCACCATCACCTCTGTGAACAAAAGAAGAATCATAAACACACCCACGCAGATAAACAGCAACTAAGTTGCTTGATACACACACTTACACCTGTCACCGGTGTGTATTTGTTTCTGATCATCACAGTTTGTCTGTTCAGACTCTGGCAACTCAGCTTTTATCATCCTGAAAACAGCACTATGTACAACAAGCAGTCAACAGTAGAAGATTACCGACCTCCAGGTTTGTAAGGCTGGAACACTTGATCTGGCCTGCGGGTTTCTAGAAGCAAGTCAAACATGTATGAAGACTTGACTCCTCCAAGGAGGAGGCCCATTGGTGTGTCCTCCTCTCCTTCATAAGAGCGCTCCAGGTACTCATGGAACTCATCATATTTTACCAAGCGACAGCAGTCCAGAGGGACAACTCCCTCAAGCTCCATCATCTGACATACAGAACACCCATTAAAGAAATTAGCAGCAAGTTTTGAAATCCAAACTCTAAAGTGAGTTTCTTTTCTTTTGCTAGTCACAGTAATGCTGTGTTGCAAAGTTAATGGAAGAAAGAAAATTGAATGCACCAAATGTCTTTCAAGATTCCTCCAAAAGTAACTGAAACAAATCTAACAAACCTTGTAGGCCATTTCTGTTGCTTCTCTGAGAGTTTTGTCTTTGTGCACTTCCAACTTGCTCTCCATCATCATCTTCACAGGATGCATGCAGAAGAGCTTGATCTAAAAAGTAAAGAGCATAAGACTACCAAAAAAAAAAAAAGAGAGAGAGAGACAGGGTATTAAATTATCCTTATAAATTAGGCAAACAGCCCAGCACCTTGCAAGTGTTGCGTTCAATCTCCCGCTGTCTCTTTTCTTGCTCTTCAGACTCTTTCTCCTTTTGAACCAAACGCTTTATGTGGTCTGGGAAGTCCTCCACGGCTAAAAACTCTGCAGACAATTCAGAGATTACACATTAAATCCAGTGGCATGAGGAAAACTACAGAGCTCAGGGTATGTATCAGAGTATGAAAAATGGGAAAATTATGACCACAAGACAAAGGCAAGAGGGCAAGCTGGTTCCTTTGCAACTGGTGCAACACAAAGCTTTAAAAATAAGTTGCAAATACAGGCAAAAGCCTGGACAAGTTTAGTTCAGATGGATGGCAGATAGGGCACAGTGGAAACTTGTGTAAAGGATCTTCTTACGTGTAGTAGGTATCAGAAGACAAGTGAAATTGTTTTATTTAAACACTTTCCTTGCAAAAAAACAAGTTAACAAAAGGCCAAACACATTCACTAGGTTACGACGAAAAGATGAAAACCTGTGACTTTTACAGTTTGGGAGTTTTTAATTCAGAAATGTGGAAAAACTGTCATTCTTGCTCTAATTTTTACATTTTCCTTAGCAAGACTTAATTGAATGAATTTCTTACTTGCATTCCTTGAAGGATCTTTCAGTCTATAAATCAGCATATATGCGTTTGTAGAGCTGTTGGGAAGGTAAGAGGAAGGAGAAAACTATTACTTCAATAAAAACAAAATTACAAACACAAACGGGGGGAAAATAAAAGGTTTCACATTTAGAAACAGATGTGAATAACAAGATAAACACCATTCATTTTCCAAAGTCAGTGTATTAGAAGCATTTGATGTGAGGGAGTCCTCTATCACAAAATCAGCGACTCCTGGAAAAAACGTGCATTCCCTGACCAGTCGGAAAGTGGCTGCTGCCAGCCACAAGGTGAAACAAATCGCATGGAGATACACGGTGCTGCTTGAAAATCATCTCAAGATTGCTTTCTGCACAATATGATCGACCAAAGCAATGACATGGAGGTTTTTGGTACAGCACGAGCCTCCAGCAATCACTCACCACCTAGCCAAGAAATAGACATTTTTTCCCTGGGGCCAACTGGGGGTTGCCAACTGGTCTCAAGGCCTGTGACTGCTGTGGAACACAACTGACCTTGCAAAGGCACCGGAGTAATAGCCTCTGCTCCCTGAGGATCCCCCATATGTTTTCCTGATATCATCCTGGGTGATCTGTTTGACAGAAATGAACACAATGAAACAAAAAAAAAAAAAAAACTATTCAGAGGTTACCACAATGACAATAAGCAGCATTTTAAATGGCAGTTGCAGTTGGCAGGTTTTTTTTGGTCTAGTATATAGAAATGGCAAGCACTGCCTGACATTTGCTTTCAGTAGGAAGCCAAAACGTGTCACTCAAGAGCAGAGACTGACCTTGCTAACGTGCTGATCGTTGAAACTGTACCACTGGCCATCACTGAAGGACTTGATACAGGCATAATAGTGCCCGCCCGCAGCGCTCCCAGAATGGACCATAACAGAAAACAGCTCAAAGGTCAGCAAACTCTGAGAAGAAATAGGGGAACACTGTTCAGTTAAAACCAATAATTGTGTTGCAGATTTCACTGTCAACATACTATATTTTTAGAGATACACACGTTCCCATATTTTGCCACTTTAAAGCAAAAATAGAGAATAATCACACATCTTTAGAACACTGTAAATAAAAGATGAATTTATATATTTAACAAGACCAGAGAAGTATAACATTTTTAGCTGACACTTGCAGAATAACAATCCCTCTTATCACTACACCGTTGGCAAATCAGGTACTTCCTTTTAATCTGTTGTCAGATACATTCTCACGTACAAACCAAGCACACCAAATCCATCTAAGTGAGGATGATCACCTTTGGCTTCAACACCCTCTCTGTGCTGCTGGTGCTGTCCAAGCAGATGCCCTCATCCACACAATCATCGGTGGAAAAATCGTTGCTCATCTGGTCGCTGTGGCAACTGCCTTCATTCTCTGCTCCGCTGTCAGTGCAGCTCTCGGTCTGAGGGGACTTCTACAGAGTACGCAATTTGAAAAACAACACCAGAGTTAAAGGTGAATTCAAAAGATCAATTAGAAAAGAACTAATCCAGCGTAGAAATGTAGGACATTAAGAAACCAGCAAGTTGGTTAACATCTCAGTTGGTCAACATACACAAACCATGGTTTATGGCTGACTGAAGCCTGTCATGGCAGGACACAGCACAAGATTACACACAGGGCACCTTGACCCTCAACACTTGGAAAAATGTTTTTGTGGACTGATGAAACTAAGGTTGCACTGTTTGGGAAAAACATACAGCCCTACAATGAAGGCACCACATGATAACACAAAACCCATAATCCTAAGGTGATGCAGAGGGAGCGTCACTGGTTCTGCTTTGCTTCCTCCGTTAGCAGTCATAAAGGAGAAAATGAATTCCAAAATTGATTAAAAGGCATCCCATAGGATGAATCCAAATCAGTAATGACAATGACAGAGGCAGGTAAATTCAATGGTGCTCTCACCTCATCTTCCACATCAATAAATGGACTCATGTCAAGTTCCTCTGGGAAGGTCATGCGGTCATTAAGTTTGATGCGATGCATAGTGGTGTAGTCAAAATCAAACCTTTTCAACTGTAATGTCAGCAGGTAAGGAAAGTGCAGAAATCTCAGCCCCTGCGTGTGATGTCAGAAAATGAGAAGAGACATTAGCAAAACACTGTACTCTCTAATCATGACTTCCATGTTACATTTTTAGTATACTTACCTTACGGGCATCACATTTCTTTTTACAGCGTTCACAGAAATACTGGTTGGGCCCATCAAGTGTTTCTGGTTGTATGAATGCCTGTAATGCTTCCTCCTGTGGCATCAAAAAAATAAATAAATAAATAAAAATAGAAAAAAAAAATCATATCATGTAAATCAAATCAATTTAGAATAACAATTTAATATCAAATAGTTTGAAACTGTACCAAGTACTGAATTTAAAGTAACCTTTAAGCAACACTGAATTGCAAAGAGTTAATAAATGTTAAGTGCTGCTGTGATAAAGTATATGCTTAGAAGAACAAAGGGTGAGAAACACACCACACTGCCATAGGCTTGGCTGGCTCCAAAGGGTCTGATCACAAGAGGGATGTCCAGGTAAGTATCAATCCTCCAGCTCTCATAGCCACACTCCAGACAACGGACATAGTCCTTCAGCTTTCCCTGGTACAACTGGTTGATCAGGTCAGCCTGCAGATAGGGAGAGAACAGTCAGGTTTCTCTGCCACATTTTACTTTAAAGAAAATCAACTCAGGATACAAAATGGTCTGCTACCAAATTGCAACATTAGCTGTGAGACGATTTCTCTCTACTTCTGGAAAAGCAAGTGCTGACAGCAAAATGTAGTGGGATACAGAATAATTCTACTTGTGTTTAGATTGGTTTCCCATAAACCTCCCTTTACCATACAACTCCGGCGGCAACTGCATATGAAAATTTCTCAGGATAATAAAATACAACAGACAACAACAGGACAAGGAAAGTATTTCTTTTTAGTCAGTTGCCATCTGTAGCTTTCTCCAGACAGCTGAAATGACAGACACCGGACAAACCAGCGTAACTGTTAACACTGCACAACAAGCCCTCAACTTATCAGTCAGAGAAAGAAAAAAAATACTCAAAACAGAGAGTAACAGAAACCTAAAGCAAAGAAAGAATGAACCCAAGAGCTGCAGGAATGATTTTTATTTGATTAAAAACTTTTGCTCTGGAACAAAAAATGTATGTCATTATTTATAAAAGTCATTAGGTATTAATTCTGGTCATGATGGTTTTGTCCCATTATTGAATCAAGAATCAAGCAAACCATTTAGAAACGGTAAAAACACTTGTGTTGTATATTTAATATAAGTCTTTTCTACTGAGATTAATAAATATGGACCAAGATAGTTTTGCATTTTTTCATTAGTTTGGTTTCCTGAGAGAATTTGTTCATTTTCATTTGTTTAATTATTTTATTTATTGCCCCAAAACATTAAATGTTAGTTTTTTTTATTAGTTTCAGTCTTTTCCTGTTCTATACTTCTTAAATTGCACATTCTGATAAAGAGTCACATGGTTTTCCAAAACAAAAGGAAAACCAAACAAAAAAAAAAAAA